GCATTGTTTGGGATTAGCATTCAGTGTAAGAGAACCTGTGGTTTTGGTATTTATGTATAAGATGAAATAAGATGAAACACCAGTAGAGACGGAACTAGAGGCGCAAGTAGAAGGCCTGTTAGAAGAGGAGGGATGGCAAGAGACTTGCCTATTTCTGGTTAGGAGGAGGCTATGATAGGAAAAGAAGTCACAGAAGCAAATTTCAAATGCATTTTTTTTCCTCAGAAATGACTGAGGGTGGTGATTTTTGAATTTGTGTGAATTTTTTTTTGTTCCTCATGATTGTTGAGTAAGTTGTTGAATATGCCCCTGTAATGCATTTTATTACACAAACAAGAAGAGAGGCTTGAAAACTTTGGAAAAAAAGTATTGGTTTGCATTAATAATATTCTGTTACTGGCACAAAGTAAAGCATTTTTTACTCATATATGATATGTGGCATATATTGCAGTATATGAAAAATGATATACCTGTTCCGAGATGTGCTGTATCGTAAACTAAACTCAAAGAAACTTGAGTCGCTGAAATAATCATTTGGGACTCAGTGGAAGCAGTCAGCTGAGTGATACTGTTCAGACAAGGAGTTATGAAAGGGACGAAAGGCACTTCTCACCTCTTCCCTTACGCCGTAGCAGCCGGTCCAGTGTGCCCGTCCATGGCGATGGAATCTGAGTCCTGTGGCAGTTGGGCAGTCATCCCTCTTCTGATTGAACTGCACTTCAGTTATAGTTGTTTAGATTTCTTGATCTGAGAGAAAATAAAAGTAACATGCATGGGTTACAAAGGATTCTTTAAGGATTTGATGCTCTAACTTTCATAGTTGATGTGAATTGTAGGTTTTATAATCTATTACATGTCAACAGTTCTGATATTCCATTGTTTATAATATACTAGAAGTTGAAGAAAAGAAAAATAGAATTCAGCTATGACAGAACTATTTCTTAAACAGTAATGTAAATCAGAAATAGCTGCCATTGGATGTCTGTTTTCCGAAGCTTCTCTGTCTTTACACATGTATCAACTGCAAGAAAAATACATTGAGTTTTATGGTCAGCATAGATGAATTTTTATAAGGATTTTTATATTCAATAATTATTAACTCTTACTTTGTACAAATTTTTATATGTTTATGGGCAGCTTAGAATATTTATATCCAGTGATACTATACTTATTTTCCATGTATTTTACTTTATTTAGGTTTTTATTTACATTTATTTGTTTGTACTATTTTATTTAACACAGTCCACTCATTGCTGCTTGGATTTTTTTTTTGATAACTTTCTCTAAGTTTCATACTCACAACAGGATGCATATAGCTTTTACAGCTATAAACTGCAAAATTCTGAAAGAGTTGTGATCAAGTTTGTGTTGAACATCACTTAATGAAAAGTCGAATTTAATGCAGAAGCCCATTAAACTTACAAAGTTACTCAGAATTAAGAAATAATGGCAGGACACATTACAACCCTAATCTGCCAGTGTTTAAACTGTTGACAGTTTCAACTTTTGACCAATATGTGGTAATAATGGAAAATCCAGTTTTTAGAAACAGAGTATAATATTTGATACCTTATGTTTGATATTGTGGTATTGTTTTTATGATAATTGGAAGATTTAAGCTTTTAAACCTGGTGCTTACAGACTTGACTTTGGAAAAAAAAAAGTCAAAGAAAAATCTACGTGAGTCAATGAACAGCTTTCGGAAATGCAGTGCTGCAACTGTAGTATTTTAACATTTTATGCCACATATTTAATTTAGCTTCCCTATTAATAAGGTATGATGAGACAATTCAGGCAATACGTGTTACTCTCCTGAGTCGTCTTTAGTTCATGAATATAAAGTTTTATCTGGATTCTGATGTATGCATAATCCATTGAAGCTAGGATAAATTGTCTGGCAACCCACAGACATACACAGAAACAAAAGTAAGCATTTACTCATACATCCATGATCAGAGTATGGTGTTTGCTTGTAGTTCCTGGATGGCCAAAAAGAGGATGACTGCTAGATGTATTTTTTCATTGGTGGGGAATAATAAGGACAACCAAATAAAAATAATTCTCTTGTGTAAATCCTCTTCATCTACATTAAGGCTTTTACGTACCCGTTTACTCTGATTTTAATCTTAACTGTGATCAGAATAAGAGAAAACAGACAAAGAAAAAAAAGGATATTTGTTTTATTTAGAGAGACTGGAGCAGTATCTTTGACATCTTTAATTAGACGTCAAAAGTAGAAGCAATGGTCATAATTTACATGAACAGATATTCCTCCAGAACTCCAGCAAAAGTAAAATAAATAGCTTTATAGATAGCTTCAGGGTTTCACTCAGAGCAGCAGGTTCTCTTTCTACTGTTCATT